CGGAAGGGAAAGACATGAGCATTTCAGAATGGAGGCACCATCACTTTCCCAATGGTACTACAACCAAATTAAACTCTCTGTTCAGAATCAAACCTTTTTCTTTCTAGCCACTAGCATTGAAAAAATACTTGTACACTTTTTACAACAGATACAAAACACAGGCAAAGATTTTTTTTTCCCTTCCAGTTAATATGGCTGTGGACAGATCATCAAGAATTCATCTCTGGTTATCACCTGTTTAAGGTCACTTGATAAGAACAGTGCTCTAGCTGTGCACACCAGAACTCGGCCTCGGGAGCAATGCATTGATATGTATGTGGTGCACCACATTTAGTGTTGCTAAATGAATCACAGTCCCAGTTCAAACAGCAAACCATTCCAATCCTGAAAAATAAAAGCATGAACTAAACAGAACTAGCAAGCTTATATCCTTAGAAAAAAGTTATAATCTAATTTTTAAGTCAATAATGACAAAGCAAATTCAAATCTATTATCCTGGGAGCCTGGCCAGTCAGGTTACATTTGTGATAGTAAGAACTGCCTGGCCTGCTGTGTTCCTCCAGCTCCATACCAGGTTACATTTGTGGCTTGGTTTTGTGAAGACTATGCAGTCAGAACCCCTCAATGGGCAGCACATGGCTCAGTGATTAGCGCTACTGCCTCACAGTGCCAGGGATCTGGGTTCAATTCCAGCCATGCGTGACTGTCCATTTGGAGTTTGCACATTCTCCCTGTGTCTGTGTGGGTTTCTGCCAGGTGCTGTGGTTTCCTCCCTCAGTCCAAACATGTGCAGGCTAGATGGATTGGCCATGCTAAATTACCCATAGTGGCCAGGGGTGTGTAGGTTAGGTGGATTAGCCATGGGAAGTGCAGGGTTACAGGGATAGGGTAGGGAGGTGAGTCTGGGTGGGATGCTCTTCAAGGGTTGGTGTGGACTCGTTGGGCCGAATAGCCTGTTTCGACATGGTAGGGATTCTATGAAACAGCGAATTATATTGAATCTGTGGGCTTCTGTTGATCTCCTCACCTTTTACAAGAATCACTGCTTTCTCAAACCCTTGACGGGCCGTAAAAGATGCCATCAAAGCACTCAACCAGTCTTCACACTTACTTTGAACCTTTTCTGCCAGATCCTTTATTTCAAAAGCATGGTTAACAGTGGGTCATGGGGGTGAGGAAGCAACAGGCCATCTCATTTCAGTTCACTGCAGAGTCACTGACCTCTAGAATTGTGTGAACATCTTTGCCTACTGTGAAGTTGAAGATGACGAAGCTGCTACACAGCTCTCTCCCATCATGTGCAGGCCTACCCTCACATTCACTAACAAAGTTCATCTGGTGGTCCTGGGAATAGTAGCATCCTGGTGGCTAGGAATTGTACCCCAGAGACATTCTCACATTGCGGTAGGAAAGGAACAACAGGAGGAAAGGTAAGGTCAGGACGGTAAAGCAGGAGCAGGCCTCACCGCCATAGTTCACCCCCTTTTCCAAATCAATTATAAAATGACACAAAACGCAATGGATTCTGCTTTTATAATTGATCTCCCATGGTGTTGCCTCTCTTGCTCTCATGTCTCTCACCTGCTGCTCCAAAGCACTTTGCAAAGGCTGTGTCCCACAGAAAACCCATCACTGATCTTCTGAGTGAGGAGACAAAACAAGGCAGGTTTTGGAATTAATACCAGTAAGATGAACTCATAGAAGAATTTGAGCTAAGCAGATGACAAAAGTGCAGGAATTTTTTTGTTTTGGAAATCATTCATGAAATGTGAGTGTCGCTGTCTGGGCCAGCATTTATGACCCATTTCAGTCTTCCCTTGAGAGAATGGTGTTATCGTTCTGCAATGCAAGCTATGCCTCTCAAGCTAACTAGTTATATTTCATTATTTTCATGGCATATATCACTGGCAATGGCACATTTACGGTCCATTCTAAACTGTTGCGAGAAGGTGGGGGTGAGCTGCATTCTTGAATCACTGTGGATTATCTGGTATAGATGCACCCACTGTGCGGATAGGGATGGAGTGCCATTGTTTTAACCCAATTACACTAAAGGAATAACGATATCTCTCCAAGTCAGGATGGTGAGTGGTTTGGAGGGGAACTTGCAGGTGATGGTGTTCCCATTTACCTGCTGCCCTTGGTTTCAGAGGTGTTGTCAATGGTGAATTTCTGTAGCGCATGCTGTTGATGGTGCACATTGCTACCTGTCTGGATCATTTGTGGAGGAAGTGAATGTTCAAGGTGCTGGATGAGGTGCCAACCAAAGAGGATTCTTAGTCTTGCACGATGTTGAGCTTCATGAGCATTGCTGGGGCTACACTCATCCAGGCAAGTGGTGAGTCTTCCCTCACATTCCTGACTCATGCCTTGTAGATACTGGCCAGGCTTTGGGGAGTCAGGAGTTGAGTTACCTGTTGCAAGATTCCCAGCCTCTGACCTGCTCTGTATCTACAGTAGTTGTGTGGCTAAACAGTTCAGTTTCTGATCAAGACCCCAAAATTCTGACATAATGAAATGTCTTACTTTACAACAAAAGTGATTGAAAAATCTGAAATGATACACAAAACTGTAATAGGTTGAAAATCTTGTACTTATGTTTAGGCTTAAATCAAAGAGTTTGAAATAAGTTTTGTGCAGATTCACATCTATTTGCAACATGAGAGGATCCACAAAGTACTTGATGCTTTATCCACTAGCAGTTGAGTTTCACTGTGCATGCAACACACTTTAATCTTACTGTCTAAATCACAGCATTACTCACCGGTTTGAAAAACATCGGTTTCATTCTCCCCTGATGCATCTCTGTGACCCTGCGATGCAGAACATCAAATTTCTTGTCTAGTCTCTGGATAGCAGCATACATTACCTGACAGTTCAAAAGTAGCAAAAGTGTTTTTGTTATTATGTTGCAAAATGCAGACAAGACTGAACCAGACATCACTTGTATCAAATGCACAGAACTACAAATCAACACAAATCATAAGGATCAAATTACATTTAGGGTCAGCCTGTATTGGTAATTAAAGAAAATTAAATTTACATTTGGAGGTTTTTATTGCTGATGTAATAACTTGAGTTTATGCCCATTGTACAACAATCATAATATTAGCAAATGATTTATTTGTCCTGATTACTGGATTCAGTTTGGGACATCCTGATATTAGGTTGTAAAGATCATGGCAACATGTTGATTCATTGGATGTTACTGAGATGAAGGACATTACTTTGAAAAGGAGTCTTACAAATTCACAGAATATGGAATTCTCTGTTCCAATAGTGCACTATCCTAATTCTTTTAAAGGGATACGGTAAGAAAAATAAATATTACAGGACCTGTGGAAGATGCAAGAAAATACAAATCTAGGCTGCGCATGTGGACAAATTTTCCAGTGTGGTCATGATAATAACGCAATCTGTTCCATTCTGTAACATTATATTATTCCAGGTACCAATGGCAAGGAAATGCTGTTGTTGAGGTACAATGTGAGAGGAAAGTCAAACTTTATCATGAAATGCAACTGGGTCTAATTCCATCAAGGTAGAGAAAATAGGTTTATTCCTTAAATATAAGCCACATCTTTGATCCAGTCGGAAGCTGAGTGACATTTGATGGAGTTTGCGGTAGGGTGTTTACAGTGGCCTTTCATCATTGATATCTGGGTTCACATCCACTACGGGCCAATAAAAACCTGTAGTATCGGATGGTTGTAAATGCCCAGTGTGAAATGAATTTGCACAGATGCAGCCCACTTCCTAGGAGAGTCTGACATTCATAAGAATGGGTAAGTGACTTCAGCAGGAGAGGCCACAGAATGGCTAGTGAGGGAAACGGCAGGTTGTTGAGATGGAAGAGGGGGACACAATTTTAAAAAGGCACGGGCAGAAATTCACTTCAGGCAATGATGCAAAGTGCGCACTGTCAGATTGTTATACGTTACACCTGGTGCTTGTTTGTACATTGGAAATTCAAGAACGGACACTGTGCCTAACAGCAGCTGATCTGATACAAACAGATCCCCAAGGTGAAATTCAACCCCAGAATTGCCACGTAGAATCTGCAGCATAGAAGCTGTTGATTTGGCTTAATTAATTTACATCAATTAATTTTAACTTGTAAATAGTTTCAAGTCAGCCTATTCAGAGATGTTAATACACACCTTTGGAGTGAGTGGGACTTGAATCCAGGTCTCTTGGCTCGGAGGTAGTGACACCACCACTGTGCCACAAGAACCCATTGGTTTTAACTTGTACATACCTAAAGCATTTGGAGGGTTTTAGTTCCTCATGGGTTCTCTTATTTTGTATCAACTGGGTATTAAATTGTGTCCAGGTAACGGGCATAAAGTGGGGAGTTGGTTCTGGCCTTGTAGCGGCCCTCTTGTGGCTCAGTAGTAGTGTCCCTACCCTTGGGCTGACACTCTGGGGTTCAAGGCCCACCTGCTCCAGAGGTGTGTGATAATGTCTCTGAACAGGTTGATTAGAAAAATACGTTGAAAAAAATTCTGCCCCCTGTAAGGGCTCCTCTTGTGGTGCAGAGGTAGAGTCCCTACTAGACCAAGTGGCCCAGGTTCAAGTCTCACCTGCTCCGGAGGTGTGTAATGACATCTCTGAACAGTTTGACTTAAAAAGAAACACAGGTTTTTGCCGCTGTAAATAGGACCAGACAGCAGCAATGTGGTTGCTGAGTTTGGAAGTGCGTGTTTGTATCATGTATCTCTGTGAATAAAATCTTATACAAAGTTTAGGCTCCAGATCTACATTTCACTGCCCGGAGTATCACAATTCTTTGTGCATCTTCTGGTCATAATTTTGACGAACAATTAGGAGAACGTTTACAGGAATCCATATCCATGTCCCTTAAGTCGATTTTGAACCATATGGCTTAACTTTTCTTCTTTGTGTTAGGGATAGGTGAGGGCTCAATTTTCAAGAAGACTTAAAGAACTGCACAGGCAGTGTGGATCGTCACAGAGCTAGCCATTACCTGGCAGTAATTAAGAATCTCCACCAGCGTCCTCTGCTGATCGGTAACATAGGAACCTTCTGACATATCACTGGCCTGTGTAGAAAGGAGAGGGATTGCTTCATTCTAATTGCACAAAACGTAAGTGTTCTGATCTATGCTGGCCTGAGTTCATTTAATTTTCTAAAAGGCACTACATAAGTTATTTCTTCGTTGTATCAATGTTTGATTTCTTCCAATGCCAATTGACAACTGTTGCAGAGCAGTAAGTGTTGCAGATCATGCTTCTCAACAAACAGTTGTTAAAAGATCCTGTCTGTGCTAGAAGGGAGGCGGCACTCAGAGGCTGGGGGCTAAATTTTATTGCCCAGGTGAGAGGCAGGAGGTGAGCCTAATCCCACAGGCGCTGTCTCAACCATCTAGATGCCAGGAAACAGGACTTTCCCAGTGGAAGACCCTGCTAGAGAAGGAGGGGTCCTGTCTTCTCAATTGTAGGAAAGCCCCAGAATGGCCAGTTTGTTTTCTTAGAATTCCTTTACATGTGACAACAGCAAGTCAGAGTCTCAGCAGCCAGCATTGAAAAATGCAGTCATGGGCATTCTGGGAGTTCAGACTGGGCCAATCAAAGTTGATGCCTGTCCAAAATCTGGTCCTTCCATACAGTCATCCCCGGCCTCTACTTCCTCTCTCACCAACCTCCCTCAATGTTCATTTGCCTCCAACATCACCCTCAAGACCTTAAAAATATCCTCTGACTTACCATTCAATAAGTTCGCTGGCCTTGTGCTCCCCACTTCCCAGGTCATGGCTCTTCCCACCTCTTCTCATTTGGTAAGCTTCTGAAGGAACCCCCCAAAAGCCTGACTGCCCCTGTGAAAGGCTGGAAAGGTCTAACCTTGGGCCTTTGTACAGGAAGAGGCCGGGGCCTTACAAAATGAAAGTAGGCCATCCTACCAACGTTGCTGGTGGCCCTTTGTTTGGCAGCTCCACCTTCGTTTGGTCCTGGTTTGAGACCACAATAACCAAGCTCCTGGAATCCACTGAGAGGAGAACTACAATTTACTTATGAGTCAATGTGAGCTGTTTATGACTGCTTTTGGTGGCCTGCCCGGCTGCAGGATTAGCATGGCCCTGGAACCAGGTGACCTGTTTGCTCTGTTGAACGTGTTGTATGGCTTAATCAAAATGCAATGAGAAACATAATATTTGGCAACTGACTGTCACATAAGACTGCAGTTTGGCGGACATGCTCGTCAAGGTAGGGATCATTACATTTTCCCTCTGGGTTTATAGTGGTAACTGGATTAAGTCCCCCTCAGTTTACTCAAAACAATTTTCAATCCTGATCAGGATTTGTCAAAAGGAACATTTAAACAAAACATCGAAAAGCATGCAAGCTGTCTGCCAGGAACCTTCAAAATATAATATTTTGCTGAACTACAAAGCTGTTTTATCCTACAATTCCTCTTTAAAAGAATTCTTCAATAATGGTAGCTTGAATCACAGCAGATTGGTGTCCCACCGTGTTCCCAGAGATGATTCATCAGCGGATCAACTTTCAATGCAACCTGCAATGAGGAATGAAGATGCCAAGGGAGGGAAGGTGCATCATTGCATCCTAATACTGCGCATCTCCAAGGGTAGTAGTAATCACCTCACTCACTGCTAGAAGATCAAGGAAGAATATGCCACACTGACATTTTTCAAAAAGATAGTCACATTTTTGAAGACACAGACAAGCTAGATGAATCTGCCAAAAACATTTTATGACTGATATCTTTAAAAGGTCATCTGTCCATGGCATTGATACTTTTTAAACTAGAATTTTTAAACACAATTTGAGTGCATCAGGAGCACACATTAAGTGGGATAAAGAATAAATGTAACAAGATGTGACAGGACAGTGACTATAAAACTAGGTTTACTCACACATTCATAGTCAGCACTGAAGTCATAAACAAAGTCGCCATTTTCTTCATAGTCCACATAATCTCCAGTGTCTCTGGTTCTCATCGGAGGCTGTAGATAATTTACACAGACAAACTGCTTAGCAGCAGGGGTAGAGGAATCAAATTAAAATTCTATTTGTACAGTGACCATTAGATGAGGCAAAAGTTATTCTTTCCAGCATTAAAGTAAAAGGGACATACTCATGAACCTAAACGATAACACACATAATAAGAATTACATAAAAAAGATGATACTAATCTCCAAGCATACTTCTGAGTTACTATGACTAGTGCGGCTTTGTGCTGTGCAAGGAGCTCGATGCTCTGTCTTGATATTAAGTGTTTAGTTCAGAATTTGTTAGCAACCAACCTATGGAGCTCTGAATGGCCAAATTAATGCCACTATTGATGGGCTCTTTCTTCTAACTGCAGTGTTATGATTTTGGTCTTTCAATCACCATGAAAAGGAAGCGATAATTATTCAAATTATTCAGGCCCCTTCACTTGAACAATATAAAGATCCTCATTGATTGTGGAATGAGTGAGTGTTCTGTTGACTCAGGAGAGGATGCATTAGCTAGACGTTCCTTTCGGTGGCGGGGAGGGGTGAGATTCGATCCGCTTTATATAGCCAGCCCACTCGAAGGAGCTGATACCCCATTGCTACAAAGTTGCAATTTGAGAATTCTTTCATAGCTGGGAAATGTCAGCAATAGGCAAGAGGTAAATCGTTGATTTCAGGACCAACGAGTGGTACAGAATGGAGAGAATGTCAGGAGAAAGAAGCCTCTCTCCTTTGTCAGTCAGTGGGGCTCAGTGTATCTAAGTGCACTACAGCACTTACTTCACTTACTTAATGTTGATGGCAGGGCCCTCATCAACAACAGTTGATGCAAAGAGCCATAACAATTCACTATTGCAGCATTCACCCTTGTTATCTTCCACCAGTAATTCAAGTTACTTTAATACTGTTGTCACTAACAGCATGCAAACACGTAACATGTCTGTAGGACTTTCCCATGCTGACCTCTTTGTCTTCAATGTGTTAATGTTGCCTTTCAAAAAAATGAAGCATTTTTGAAGCAACAATGAATCAAATCTCAAGCATTCATCTGACACTACCTGAAAATTGTTCAATGAAATAAAACACAAGGCCCATCTAGTTTGCCTTGTCCCAGCCCAGCAACAAATTGCACAATAATAACAGAACAAGAGAAACAACATCCTTACAGGATCTGGTTGCATGTCAGAGGAAAGCTGGATGCAAGAATGTGCACTAGTATTCCTTCCGTGGCCATAAGACAACAGTTGAGGTATAAACACACAGTGCAATATCCTGGGCCTGTGCTTGGACAATAAAGGTAGCACGATGGCTCACAGCACCAGGGATCCCAGTTCGATTCCAGCCTTGGGCAACTAAGTGAATTTCACACATTCTCCCTGTGACGGTCTGCGTTTCCTCCCCCAGTCCACAAGATGTGCAGGTAAGGCAGATTGGCCATGGGAAATGCAGGGTTACTGGGTAGGGGTTTGGGTCCAGGTGAGATGCTCTCCAGAGGGTTGGTGTGGACTTGATGGGCTGGATGGTCTGCTTCCACACTCTAGGGGATTCTATGATTTTATTCTATAAATAACATAGCCATTCTATGTAATTAAGGGCTTCAGGTGAATAAATCCATTATGAAATGACAAATTTGTTCACCAAATAAGGAACCAAACACTCAGGTATCGAAAAACAACAGTAGAAATTTAGTGGTGATTCTTTTTGAAGTGTCTAATAAGTTGCATTTTTGTTCCTCTGCAAGCATTTTTATTCTCGTACTGGGTAGCAATACCTACTGCATTATGGATTGTAATTTTCCTTCTTTTGGGTCTGTAAGTGTAAGTGTATTCTCCAGGCCTGTGTCGAGGCTCATGCGACGCGGTTCCAGGTGAAACATCATTTCTGTTTGGCAGACATTCCTGTGGCAGGTTTGCTGTTGACTCATTGTTATTCATACCTGAAGCACTGGCCGAGCCTTCTGCTCCTGATTTCTGTACTAGAGATCAGAAAACGGGTAAAAGGAAAACTGTCAAAAGGTATTTTCAAAAACCTATATTTAAAAAAAAAAAGTGAGACATATTAAAGGTCAAAAACCTCCATGCCAAATCTAAATGCAAAATATTAAAGGCTGCCAGAATGTGAACGCTTGAGTGCACAGCACAGAGGTTACCTGAGGCTTTGCAATGCACTGGTTAGAGCACAGTTGAAATCTGTGCCTAATTTTGGTCACCACACATCAAGAGGGACCTACAAACGTTGGCGAGGGTACAGCAGCAACAATTCCACGTGGAAAGCGGCCCAGCAATGCTCAAGGTGAAAAGTGAAAGATGGGATGGACAGAATTTTACAGGCCCCCTGCTGTGTGTGTGTGTGTGGTAGCCCCTCAGAAAGATGCTTAGTCATGTGGAGTGCCTTTTGCAGATGGGGAAGACTGTTGTGCTGTCTTCTGGCTGATTAGGAAACTCTCCTGCTCTTTCTGCCTACCATGGGCGATGCCGAGGTATTTATGGATTGATAATCAACCTTGCGATGGAGTTGTTTTCCTGCCCTCCTGTAATATTTTGACCAGTAGGAGGGGGTTCAGGAATAGGGCAAGGATCCGACAGATCACATTGCTCGGACGGGGAAAGGTGGAGAGTGAACTTCCCTCCACCATTGGCTCCCTCTCTTTCTAGCTCATGTCGCACGCACGCACACGCACACACACACGGGATGTGTGTTTCCCAACATCAGCTCTGGCTCTCCCATCCCCATCTGGATGCGCACTCCTTATCATCACCCTCCTCACTCGCATCAACCTCTGGGCACCCTCCCCCTCCCTGCTCACCCTCTCCCTTCTTGCCACCTGTGCCCCAACAAGCCTGTGCCTATCTGGTTTGGTGATCTCCAGCACTTAGGATTGGTGGCACTGCCTGTGGCCTCAGCAATGGGCACTGCTCCTAGTGGCACTGCTGCCACTATGGAGCTGCCAGCCAATGATGACTGGGCAACAGCTCTCCGAGCCTGGACTTCCTCCAGCGTAAAAGACAAGCATCTTTCCTCTAGCCACCTCTTGGCCTGTGGAGTGTTAAACAGCTGGAGGGCAGCTGGCAGCAGCAAGATATATGTTCCCTACTGATTCTTCGAATGACAGGGATTAATCTAAAATGAGTGAAAATTACATTGAAAGGATAGTTAAAAATGTTTCTTTCAAGACAAATGATTGAAATAATTATGCAGTTATAATAATGGACAAAATACATAGCTTAAGATATAAATCACAGCTAATTACAGTAGCAGGAAGAGATATTTCAAAGGGCCAACGATGAAGAACACAAATCATTATTGTAAACACAAAGTGTGGTGAAGGAGATTGATGAGCTCCAAGCACAAACAGCATGTGGCAAACACAGAAAGACAGCTTAAAAATGATGCAAGAATTTAATATGACCAGAAAAGATGGGGGAGGAATACAGAGAGGCTGACTAGCACTGTTGACCACGGAAGACATTGCAAGGTTAGAAAGGGAGGAGGTCCTTTAGGGGCAAGGACAGAATCCATTTGGTTTGGAGTTGAAAAGCAAAAAGAATAAGATAATGCTACTGGTGATCTTATATAACAATATGAGAGAGACAGAAAGAGAGAGAGAGATAGAAAAGCAAATATGCAGGAATATCAGAGATGAGTAAAAGCTATAGAGGGGTGACCTTAGGTATACAAATATTGATTGGAATAATGTAAAGGGAAAGGAAAGGGCTAAAGTTTCAAAATACATTCAGGAGAACTTCCTTGATTGTAATGTTCTTGGTCCATCTACAAATAAGACATTGCTGGATCTGGTGCTGGGAGTGAGGTGGGCAACTGGTTGAAGTGTTGGTGGAGGAACACTTGAGACAGCAGTGGACTGACTAGTTTACTCTGTAGAGAGCTGGCTTAGGATGAATGCCTTGTTTCTGTGCCATAATATATCTATATCCCCCTGAGTGGCTGTTTCTCAGCTTCCTGTAAGTATGGCACCTGCCAATGAATGTATTCTTCTCAGAACATAAAGGAACAAATATTTAGGATTAATGAGGGGCTGAGTGTAAATCAGTATTGTTATTTACCATAAACTACAGCAGTTAGATATCTTTTTTGATTGTTTGCTTGTGAAAGGTCTTCAGTAGTAAGGGAAGATGAATCATTCGGAATGTCCACCACTTCAGCTCCGTTAAATATCACGGCTTCTGTATCCTCTTCGACTTTGACTCTCAGATATGAATCTGCAGCAAAGTTTTAAAAAAGACTGCTGATAAAAACTAAACGGTGTGCTGTGACATATAGTTGAAATATTTTACATTTTGGTTTCCGTACCTCAAACACTAGAATGTAATTCAAAAACAGAACTGACAAGACTATGATCACTGTGGCCTATAATAAACATGTACATGAAGTGAAATAAAAACATTCCGAACAAGAGTCATATCACACTTGAAACAGGAACTCGACTCTCTCTCCACAGATGCTGCCAGTTCCTGGCAGTTGCTCCGCTATTATCGAGTTCCTCCAGCACATTCTGCTTTAATTTCAGATTCCCAAAATCTGCAGTACTTTGCTGTTATATGAATATGACGCCTGAAGTACAGAACATACCTTTGTTAGAAAACTCAGTCCGAAGTTGAACCTTAAATAAAAATGCAAGACCCCCCCTATCCTGTGACATTGAATTCAATGACCGTAACATTTCTTTCAGTTTCTGGTTGTTATATGGAGCTGCTGTAGAAATTCTCCACCTCTGGTTCCTGTTCTGGCCGTATCTGAGTCACTAGTTTGAGGAAGAAGGGGACTGCATTCCAAGTCACAACCATCTGTCATGCTCCAACTTTGTTATTGTGTATAATATTTTAACATCCTACAGTATTACATGCCTTCCAGTTTCAGAATGGCCTACTATCAATAATCCCCTTGTTTGCCTACCACTTTGATATCCCTCCCTGGGCTCCGTCTCCACCTACCTACCTGCTCAACTCTCCTACCCCCCACTCTCCCTCAAACTCATCTTCGGCAAAAAGACCGGTTTTTCTTAACTGAGATCGGTTCTGAAGAGGGGTCACTGGACTAGAAACGTTAACTCAGCTCAACTCTGTAGATGCTGCCAGACCTGCTGAATTTTACTAGTAATTTCTGCTTTTGTTTCAGGTGGTGGACAGGCTTTGGCGAGTCTGGAAATGTGCTACCTATTACAGGGTTTCAAGTTTCTGACTTGTTCTAATAGCCACTGTATTTATATGGCTGGTCCAGTTCAGTTTCTGGTTAATACTAATCCCTAGGATGTTGACAGTGGGCGATTCAGTGATGATAAGGTCACTGAATGTCAAGGACAGATAATTAGATTCTCTCTTTTTGGAGATAGGCATATCCTGGCACTTTTGTGGCACAATTATTGTCAGCCCAAGTCACACAGGTCCAGGTCAGGGTGCATATGGACAAAGGCTGCTTCAGTATCTGAAAACTTGTGAATAATGTCATCATTAGTGAACTTTCTCACTTCTGACCTTATTATGGAGAGAAGGCCATTGATGAAGCAGCTGAAGATGGTCTCTTTTTTAAAATTTTAGATCTATGTGAGAATCAGACAGGATGTAAACTGATCCATTACAGTCCATTCTCAGAACAGTTAAAATCAGTCCTTGTAGTTCTCCAATAGCAGGTTGGAAGATGTAGCCCCAGAATAAACCAAACTCTTTTTTGCGTACACATAACAGCTCGCAGGTTCATAGAGGATGGCAGTGAGCTCATGGAAGAACCATGAGGTATGGGTAGATGGGGTGGGGAATATCGTGTTACGTCTTACAGACTTATAGGAATGGGTTCAAATCCCAACACCTAATGTGTGTTTGCCTCCAGCAAATCTTATCCCTTGTAATATAAGATCTGGAGGTGAGTGACATGGTATTGAAGAATTCAGCAGAACATTTATTACAGCTCACTGTCATATACAAATACTACAAATGTCTGGTAGTATTAGGCTAGTCGGTTACAAAGATTAGTAAGCTTTCACCAGCAACAAGTCCCCCAATTTAAGATGGAGAATGAGATCTTTATGCCCTTAGATCATGTGCTACGATATGTTCATGATGTAAGTATGTCTCCGAGAGATATACTGACATACTAACTGAGAGACAGCAAGTGTGAGGGATAGAGACTCAAACAGCGATCCAAACAACTGGGACAAAGTGCCAGAGAACTGAGGTGGTCTAATCAGTTCGGATTGCACTCGCTCCCCTCCATGCCTGCACCAGAGCTGTTTCCAGGGTCAGTCACCCAACGTGATCACATCTCTGCCTCCTTACAGCAAATATATTGTGCGTAGAAGCCATTTATCTACAGATGAGTCTGTACATTGGGATTTTCAGAATTAACACCTGGCTCAATGAGAGTCTGGCCCAACATTCCAGGTGAAGAGAAAAAGTCCATAGATTGAACTATACAAGGAATTTTTTACAGTGCCACATAATAGATTTGTGAGGAACGTTACAGGTCATAAAATAAAAGTGACATCAGCAACAGGGATACAAAATTGACTGAGTGACAGGTTATAGAGAGTAATGATCAATGAATACATTTCTGGCTGCAGTAAGACTTGCAATGGTGTTCCTGAGGGATTGGTATTGGGACTCTTGCTTTTCCTGATACATATTAATGATCTTGTTTGGAATGCTATGTGGCGTGCAGGGGACTATTTCAAAGTTTGCAGGCGACACTCAACTTGAAAGAACTGTAACTTGTCAGGAGAACAATGGAGAACTACAAAAGGACACAGTCAACTTCATGGAGTGAGTGGATATGTGGCTGATGTGTGACATGATGCATTTTAGTAAGATGGACATTAAAAGGCAAGATAAAATAGGGGGTACCAGTCTAAAGGGGGTGCAAGAGCAGAGGGACCTGGCTGTATATAAGCACAACTCATTGAAGTCGGCAGGGCAGATGGAGAGAGTCCTTAATAAAGCATACTATATCAGGCTACTGCACACTGTATCCTGGGCTTTATTAATAGGGGTGTAGATTACAAGACGAAGGAGGTAATGCTGAATTTGTGTCATACACCTGTTAGGCCTTAGCTGGAGTATTGTGTACAGTTCTGCATGTTATATTATTGGAAGAACGTGCACACGTTGGAGAGAGTGCAAAAGCAATTTATACAAGAACGGATTCAGGGAAGAGGATCTTCAGTCGTGAGGAGAGACTGAAGAAGTTCAGATTGTCCAAATTGGACTGAAGAAGCCTTAAAGGAGATCCGATCAAAGTTTTCAAATACAGGCTAGATGTATTTATAGGAAGAAACTGTCCCTGCCCGTAAAAGGAACAAGAACAAGATGGCATTGATTTAAAGAAATTTGCAAAATGACCAAATGTGATCTGAGAATAATTGTATATTGTGATTCGTTTAGAGTATGGACTGAAGTGTGGTGGAGGCAGGCTAAACTGAGACATTCAAGGGGGCTTTGCATGATTATGTGGATAGAAATTATGTGCATGGATATTGAAAAAATGTACAAGATTGGCACTAGGTAATGATGCTCATTTGAAAAGCCAGAGCAGACACTTTCTAGAAGAATAAAGTCTCAGGTTCCATAGTATAAAATGTAGTATAGAATCAAGTGAAGCAAACACAATGAAATTAACATGGTCTTAGCTGATTAATTATGTTTTCCAACAAAAAGCATGGCAAAACCTAACCACACATTCTGAACCTTCACCTTTCCAATAATGACTTCCCCTCAGACGTCTTTGGATAGTTATCAAATTTTGTCCACTTTCTTGGGACCAATTGCAAATACTTCCACAGCTCCCTTCCAGGGTCTGGGACTTTTCAGCTCAAGCCTGAAATTCACTCACAATTCCTGCGCATGGGACTGAAACAGAAAATTAGCAATAGCCTTGGTTTCAAATGGCACTATTCTCCACAGATTTTCTACAGTTCTTGGAATATTATTTTTGTCTTTTGAACTTAGTGTCCCAGACACCATTGTCTCTATTCCTGGCTGTGCCCTGTCCCACAGAGATGGCAGCACAGTTGTATATAGTCAGCAGGGAGCTACCTTCAACATTGACTCCAGACTCCAGGAAGTCTCGTGTCATCATATCAAATACATACTCCTGATTACCATTGACAACTTTCCTTATCCTGGCTCATTAATGAGTTTTCTCTGCTGTGTTGAAGAGGACGAAGCATTTAGGTGGCAAGGCACAGAATGTACTCTAGTGGGGGAATTTCAATATCCAGGTTGATCATGGAGTGACCTGGTAGCACCACTACATGGTGGAATGCATTGTCTGGAAGTGTGGTGGAGGCAGGATAAATTAAAACATTCAAGAGGGTATTATTTCTATCCAATTATTCACCTGATGTGTAAGGATATTGAGAAAAAGCAGGAGACTGGCTCAAGGTAATGATGCTCATTTGAAAAGCCAGTGTAGACACTTTACTTTTGAGAAGAATAAAGCCACAGGTTCCACGACTGAACGAGCTGATAAGTTCTAAAGATCTGCTGTTAGTCTGTTTCACAGCATCACAAAAGTTGTTACCGTGCAAAAGGAAGCCATTTGGCCCATCATGCCTGCACATGCTCTTTGAGTGTGCATCATTGATAATCCCCAAGCCCTTGCACACTATTTCTATCCAAATAATCATCACTTGTTTAAGGCAGGTGGTGAAGGAACCACCAAAAAGGGCAAAAGCTACTCCATCTTGTCTGCCAATATCAGTAGGACTGAACACTGCACAATCCTTTCAGAGATGGTGTTGAGGATTGAGGTTCCAAAGAGGATGTGTCGCATGATACTTGCACTGTTGCATCGGCCAATACGATTCACGCCATGTGATATTAAGAAACAGCTGAAGGCACTGGATAGTGCAAAGGCTAAGTACTGTGACAACATTCCTACAACAGTACTGAGGACTTGTGCTTCAGAACTAGCTAAGCTATTCCATTCAGCTATAATACTGGCATCGGGCTAACAATGTGGAAAATTATGTAGGTATGTTCTGTGCACAAAAGGCAGATAAATCCAACCTGGCTAATTACTGCCCTGTCAGTCTACTACCACCCATCGAAGTGCTGGAAGGTGTCACTGACAGTGCCATCAAGAGGTACCTGCTCAGAAACAACCTGCTCACTGATGCTCAACTTGTGTTCTGCCAGGGTCACTTGGCTCTTAATTTCATTACAACCATGGTCAAATGAGCTGAACTCCAGAAGTGAGGTAAGTGACTTCC